ATTTTATTACCTTTTAAAAGCTTCAAACCGTTTTGGAATTGCTTAATTCGTTCTTGAGATATATATGATTAAGTGGATCCAATTTTTTTTTTTTTGCAAAAACGGTAAATTGCAAATATCTCAAAAACGGTACCATAAAATTAAAAATAACCTTGATTTTCGGAATCAGGGGGTGATTTTACATACGAATTTCATAACGGCGTCTCTGGTAAATTTTGGCCGTCGACCAGTGTAATTATTGCTTTCCATGACCAATATGCTGTCTCCATTGACAATACATACATTAGCTTCTTGAACTTACAGGATTTTACACGAACATGCAGGAAGTTGCAGGAAAAATGTTCCCGTACTCCAAAATCCTGTAAATGAGAGCAACTTTTGGAGAGTTGTGTAGAGAATGAAGTTGCAAGATTTTACCCGAACTTTTCCTTCTGGTAAAATCATGAAAAGTGTCAAGCAATCACTGGTTGACGTTTTTACAGGAAAAGTGTTTTTTTTGTTTCCGTACATTTTGTTGGTACTCACTTTTTACTCTCACTTCAGAGAGTAATTTTGCTGTTTGACAGTTTTACAGGATTTTTCACGAAAAGTATTGGATCAGAGCTATTGTCTTATAACATGATCGAGATAAAGCGGTAGCCTGTTGAGATGCATAACCAGGGTCGCTATTTTTCTTTGCCCATTAGTAAAGACATTACTACACTGCGTTCCATAATTATAAGACCGCCACATATTAACAAACTTTTATTTTTTATTTTTATACTATTTAATATTAATTATTTTCTTATAAATATACAGTTCATTTTATATCAAACACCATACAAACTTTTGTGCAAATATTATAAGAATTCAGCGAATTTTCACCAACATTTTACACATTTTTTAAAAATTTTTGGAAAAGTTTTGCGTATGCAGTTTTATAGCCCAAGCAGTTTTAATTTTTTTTGCCCATTAGTAATGACATTACTACACTGCGTTGCATAATTATAAGAACGCCACATAGTAACTAATTTTGACTTTTTATTTTTATATTAGGGGTCTTCATCAAAAGTGATAAACTGTTGATAAAATGATACATTTATCAGATTGATAAATGAACTGTCAAACTTTGTATGGAAATCTGTTTAACCAAAGTGTATCACTTTATCAAACGACTGGTGGATAAATTTATAAATTTTAGAAAAATTCTACCCTTACAGGTTCCCAGGTGGTCGCTTTTGCTACGAACACATAAACACAAATGAACACAATGGACCAGGTAAGAATAAAACGTAACTAGCCATATAAGTTAAGTAATAAACAATTTTATGCAATTATTTGCAAAGGTGCGTGCACGAAAGAATGCGGATAAACTGATAAATTTAGCAGTTTATCCCTTTATCACTTTAGATGAAGACTCAAATTATTTAATCTCAATTATTTTCTTATAAAAATACTGTTCATTCAATAAAAAACACCATAAAAGTTCACATTTCAAACTTTGTGCCAAATATAAAAATTCAGGGAATGAACACAATGGACCAGGTAAGAATAAAACGTAACTAGCCATATAATTTAAGTAATAAACAATTTTATGCAATTATTTGCGAAGGTGCGTTCACGAAAGAATGCGGATAAACTGATAAATTTAGCAGTTTATCCCTTTATCACTTTAGATGAAGACTCAAATTATTTAATTTCAATTATTTTCTTATAAAAATACTGTTCATTCAATAAAAAACACCATAAAAGTTCACATTTCAAACTTTGTGCAAAATTATAAAAATTCAGCGAATTTTTACCAAAATTTTTCACTTAAGAATTATGGTTTTGGGTATGCAGTTTTATAGCCCATGCAATTTTAGTATAATAAAGTGCGAGTTTCATATGGCTACAAAATAACGTTGATTTTTGGCATTTTTCTTTTACGGCGCCATTCATTCTCTTCTATACAAAGTACGTTCGAAATTTTTTTATATGGAGGAAAATGAGCAACACTGTCAACAAAAAACAATTGCCAAAAATCAACGGCAATATGTACGCAGTGCATGGAATTATTTTCCTTTTTTTAACCATGTTAACTTATACTTTATTTATGTGTTAAAATAAATATAAAACAAATTTCCATGGTGGAGTATTTGTCCTCCTGGAATGCTAAAAATTCTGGTCACCTTACTAAATCGTTCAAATACCCCTATGTGCGCCGCTAAAGAAGTTTCACTTCAAAAAATACACCTGAAAAAGACTTGCGTGCCAAATGAGCTTTTCTCTCAAAGTTTACGCTGCTGGCAAATGTAAACTAATTAATACAATTAAAGTAAAATCTGTGGAAAATTAACAATAAAATACTTTTTTCGCAAAATCTATAAAGGAACCTGGGTAACAGTTAATCGTCGCCACGCTGTAGTTATTTATAAAAACATACATATGACAGTCAAGACGGACTTACTTTTTTTCCTTAACAGTTTTTAAGACTGCCAATTTATTGGCTTTGCTTTGTGCGTGCGACATAGTAAGAAAAATAATATAAAAATTTTTTTTAATATACAACGCTTTTATAAATGGACTAAAAAGTAGAAAATAATACTTCTCAGTCCCATAGAATTTGTTTTGATAACTTTTGATTTTGAAATTTTAGCAAAAGTCATTATAAACAATCTATGAAATTGAAAATGAAAANATAATAGCCACCTGAATTGATATGAAGGGTAATATATGTTCATATGTATGTGGATATATGAATAACGACCGCTTAAAATCGATCTCAAATTTGTACATTATCTGTAGAAATCTTAGGTCTATGTTATGTAGTTTGACTACTGTCAATTAAATCTAATGCTTTGTATTGCATGCGCAATTTTTTTATATTATTTATTTTCTACTTTTTAGTCTTGTCTGTATAAAATTTTGCAATAGATATTAAAATAATTCAACGATATTAATAGAAAGGTGCACACACATGCATTTACATATGTATGTACATACAAACGAGCACCAATTAATTTTATTTAAAGAATGGCGTCTCGTCTATTTCCGGTGTAGCAAACGTATTACAAGGGCGACATCTAGATGTCATCTACCTCGCCCTATTCACTATGCTTTTTTAAAGGAGCTTTTCAAAGCTTTGCTTTGGTGTCGGAACACTACATTGAAAGTTTCGGGATCCACAACNAGGCTATAAAGAGAATCGAATATTAGCTCTGATCCAGTCCTCCATGAACTTACAGCATTTTACACGAACTTGCAGGAAGTTGCTGGAAAAATGTTCTCGTACTCCGAAATCCTCCAAAATCCTGTAAATGATAACGACTTTTGGAGAGTTGTGTATAGAATAAAGTTGCAAGATTTTACCCGAACTTTTTCTTCTGGTAAAATCATGAAAAGTGTCAAGCAATCACCACTGGTTGACGTTTTTACAGGAAAAATGGTTTGTTTGTTCCCGTACTTTTTTGTTGTTACTCACTTTTTAGTCTCACTTCAGAGAGTAATTTTGCTGTTTGACAGTTTTACAGGATTTTTCACGAAAAGTATTGGATCAGAGCTATTATTCGTCAAAGGTCTGTTGAAAAAACTGGATGCATCTGTAGTTGTTTTCTACTTTTTCTTAGTGTAATTATTTTTTTCCTCATAAAACTTATTATTCTTAAGTTCCGTGTTTCCTTCTATTAGTCTTTCAGCTCGAAAACAAAAATATTTATTTTAATTTTGTGTAAATTGTCAAAATTAGCACGCATCGAAATAAAGATAAAATGGTATGTAAATAAGTCGACAGCCAAGTTCACAAATTAAATAAGAATTAATTCAAGGTGAATTTTATATCTATTGAGGCGTGGGACTTGGCATGTAATATATGGTAAGTATACTTAACTCACATCGTAGCTGAAATACAAAAAGCCGTAACTAATTAAAAATCCAAAATTTATTACTTTTTGATGGATTATGATGCATTTCATCGAATCATAAGTCCCCACATCGTTTTAGGCAATACAAATTTAGTTAGTTGTGATTTTTTGCATTTCAGCAACAATGTGAAATAAGCCCTCTTAAAATAGTATTAGCGATATATATGTATGTGGGAAATTTGCGTTCATTCGCCTCAAAAAATATATCAAAACACATTGAGCGCATGGAATGGAACAACAAAACAGATTTGATAGCTTATGGTACCGAGGGCGGTGAGTATTTAATTGTGACTGCCTGCAACTAGGAAGCTCAACTAACTAATAAAAAAAAACTAATTAGAAGGTATTCATTACGAACCTTCCCAAGGAGTCACCCAAAACTAAGCAAATCTGAGACCTTTACCGTCCGTGATTCCATAATTCAAATTATTTAAAAAAACGGGGTATCTTTTTAACAAAATAACAAGATTTTAAACTATATCTGCTGGCAGCCACGACTTTCAAAACAGGATTTTCTTCGAAATTTGCATTCCTAGAAACTAACAAATTTTTCAAACCAGTCATAGAAGACAGGATTAAAAATGGAGTACAAAAACTGAAATCGAAAAACGCTGATTACGTAAGAGGTTGTCCAAATTCTGAAGCAATCAAAAGAATTGATGCTCCAAATTGGAACACAACGGTGTTTAAACAACGATCTTGTCATGATACTAGATTGTGAAGATGAAAGTCAGGATAAATCTGACATTTGCAGCCCCGATGCAATTCCCAAAAAGGAACTATTGCTCCGCAAAGAAAGAAACATAACTGAAAGTCCTCTCAACTGGTGCAGCGTCAATCGAAAAGAATTTACAATTTTGTCAAGTTTCAAGTTTGTCGCCTCGAGCGAATAGTTATTTAGTGGCGCAAGTTTGATTTACGACCCGTTCGGAATCAGGCTGTAACCCGAAAATGCAGCAAAATTACTCTTTCATAAATACAATGTTCCAATTTTTTAATTGAAGTGCTAAATAAAAAAAACATTATTAAAAATTAGGAACTTTCCCATTTTTTATTTACCTAAATCACCTAATGTACTCACCAAAATTATTTCTTAAAAATATTTGACATCCGCATTCGCATTCGCATCCTTGGATGTTAGCTTTTAAACATCCGCATTCGCATCCGCGGATGTCTAAAATTCCACATTCGCAACATCGCTAGTACNCGTCAAAGGTCTGTTGAAAAAACTGGATGCATCTGTAGTTGTTTTCTACTTTTTCTTAGTGTAATTATTTTTTTCCTCATAAAACTTATTATTCTTAAGTTCCGTGTTTATTTAATTTTGTGTAAATTGTCAAAATTAGCACGCATCGANGGGCGGTGAGTATTTAATTGTGACTGCCTGCAACTAGGAAGCTCAACTAACTAATAAAAAAAAACTAATTAGAAGGTATTCATTACGAACCTTCCCAAGGAGTCACCCAAAACTAAGCAAATCTGAGACCTTTACCGTCCGTGATTCCATAATTCAAATTATTTAAAAAAACGGGGTATCTTTTTAACAAAATAACAAGATTTTAAACTATATCTGCTGGCAGCCACGACTTTCAAAACAGGATTTTCTTCGAAATTTGCATTCCTAGAAACTAACAAATTTTTCAAACCAGTCATAGAAGACAGGATTAAAAATGGAGTACAAAAACTGAAATCGAAAAACGCTGATTACGTAAGAGGTTGTCCAAATTCTGAAGCAATCAAAAGAATTGATGCTCCAAATTGGAACACAACGGTGTTTAAACAACGATCTTGTCATGATACTAGATTGTGAAGATGAAAGTCAGGATAAATCTGACATTTGCAGCCCCGATGCAATTCCCAAAAAGGAACTATTGCTCCGCAAAGAAAGAAACATAACTGAAAGTCCTCTCAACTGGTGCAGCGTCAATCGAAAAGAATTTACAATTTTGTCAAGTTTCAAGTTTGTCGCCTCGAGCGAATAGTTATTTAGTGGCGCAAGTTTGATTTACGACCCGTTCGGAATCAGGCTGTAACCCGAAAATGCAGCAAAATTACTCTTTCATAAATACAATGTTCCAATTTTTTAATTGAAGTGCTAAATAAAAAAAACATTATTAAAAATTAGGAACTTTCCCATTTTTTATTTACCTAAATCACCTAATGTACTCACCAAAATTAT